CCACCCGGGGCGCAAGGGACGTCCCCTCTGGAACTGGAGGTGGCCCCGTGGGGACAAGAAAGGCCACCGTTGACACAAGAGAGGCCATCGTTGATGGGAGAGGTGGCACCCGGGGCGCAAGGGACGTCCCCTCTGGAACTGGAGGTGGCCCCGTGGGGACAAGAAAGGCCACCGTTGACACAAGAGAGGCCATCGTTGATGGGAGAGGTGGCACCCGGGGCGCAAGGGACGTCCCCTCTGGAACTGGACCACCGTTGACACAAGAGAGGCCATCGTTGATGGGAGAGGGGGCACCCGGGGCGCAAGGGACGTCCCCTCTGGAACTGGAGGTGGCCCCGTGGAGACAAGAAAGGCCACCGTTGACACAAGAGAGGCCATCGTTGATGGGAGAGGGGGCACCCGGGGCGCAAGGGACGTCCCCTCTGGAACTGGAGGTGGCCCCGTGGGGACAAGAGAGGTCGTCAGCGAGCAGGGAGGTGGCACCTGGGGCACAAGGGACGTCCCCTTTGTCATTGGAGATGACCCCCTGGGGACAAGAGAGGTCTTCATCGACTCAAGAGAGGCCACCATTGATAAGAGAGGTGGCACCTGGGGCACAAGGGACGTCCCCTTTGGAACTGGAGGTGCCCCCGTGGGGACAAGAGAGGTCTTCACTGACACAAGAGAGGTCTTCACTGACAAGAGACAGACCACCGCTGACACAAGGGACGTCCCCTTTGTCATCGGAGATGGCTCCATGGGGACAAGAGAGGTCTTCATTGACGCAAGAGAGGCCACCGTTGACCAGAGAGGTGGCACCTGGGGCACAAGGGACATCCCCTTTGGAACTGGAGGTGGCCCCATGGGGACAAGAAAGGCCACTGTTGATGCAAGAGAGACCACCGTTGACAAGAGAGGTGGCACCTGGGGCACAAGGGACGTCCCCTTTGGCATTGGAGGTGGCCTCATGGGGACAAGACACGTCATCGTTGACACAAGAGAGGCCACCTCTGACACAAGGGATGTCCCCTTTAGCACTGGAGATGGCCCCATGGGGACAAGAGAGGCCACCACCAGGACGAGAGATGGCACCTGGGGCACAAGGGCTGTCCCCTTTGGCACTGGAGCTGGCCCCGTGGGGACAAGAGAGGCCACCACCAGGACGAGAGATGGCACCTGGGGCACAAGGGACGTCCCCTTTGGCATCAGAGGTGGCCCCGTGGGGACAAGAGAGGTCTTCGTTGACTCGAGAGAGGCCACCGTTGACGCACGGGACGTCCCCTTTGGCACTGGAGCTGGCCCCGTGGGGACAAGAGAGGCCACTGCTGACCAGAGAGGTGGCACCCGGGGCACAAGGGCTGTCCCCTTTGGCACTGGAGATGACCCCCTGGGGCCAAGAGATGTCACCGTTGACACCAGAGACGGCACCGCTGACACGAGTGACAGCACCATGGGGCCAAGAGATGCCACCATTGACACGAGAGGTGGCACCTGGGACACAAGGGACAGCCCCTTTGGCACCCCAGATGGTCCCGTGGGGACAAGGAACGTCACCTTTGACACCAGAAACGGTGCCTGGGACACAAGGGACATCCCCTTTGGCACCAGAGATGCCCCCACGGGGACAAGAAAGGCCACCGCTGATGGGAGAGGTGGCACCTTCGGCGCGAGAGATGTCCCCTTTGGCACCAGAGCCATCCCCGTGGGGACAAGAGGTGTCACCTTTGAGAGGCGGGACGGTGCCCAGGACACAAGGGACGCCCCCTTTGGCAGCAGAGACGTCCCCATGGGCACGGGAGGTGGCACCTACACGAGAGGCGTCACCCGGGGCACAAGGGACATCCCCTTGGGGATACGAAATGTCCCCTTTGGCACGAGAGACGGTGCCCGGGGAACACGGGGCGTCCCTTGTGGCACCAGAGATGTCCCCATGGACACAAGAGACATCACCTACCCCACGAGAGATGGCACCTGGGGGACAGGGGACGTCCCCTTTGGCACCAGAGATGTCCCCATGGCCTCGAGAGACGTCACCTACTCGAGAGATGGCACCTGCGGGACACGGGACGTCCCCTTTGGCAGCAGAGATGTCCCCATGGCCACGAGAGACGTCACCTACTCAAGAGATGGCACCTGCGGGACACGGGACGTCCCCTTTGGCAGCAGAGATGTCCCCATGGCCACGAGAGACGTCACCTACCCAAGAGGTGGCACCTGCGGGACACGGGATGTCCCCTTTGGCACCAGAGACGTCCCCACGGACACGAGAGACATCCCCTTTGGCACAAGAGATGTCACCTTCCTCACAGGGGACGTCCCCTTGGACGGACGTGACGGCGCCCGGGGCCCCAGGGACGTCCCCGAGGGAGGGTTTTCCCCGGGGGGGCCCTTGGGGACCTCCGCCAGGGTCCCCCTTCCCCGGCGTGG